AAAGAAGAGAGATAATACTCGTTTTTTTACAGTTAATTTTCACTTTCCCTGTAATGCTTGCGGTGGGAGGCCAGTTTCGGTGAAAAAAACTGTCCCCCCAAAAAAACAGGTTTTTTTTTTAAACAAATTTTCAAGTTTGACGTAGCCCGAAGTTTTACAATGTAAAACTGCACACTTTTGATTCCCACTTATTCAGGAATCAACATCAATTCCAAACAAATTTCCCCCTTTCCCATCCCAAAACACCATTCAATTTTCCCCAGCTATGCCAATGTTTTGTTCGGGGAGTTTTTTTAAAAATTTTTTTTTTCCCTCCGAGAAGTCCCTGTGTAGGCCAGTGCGACGCGGACGAGTGGACACCTGCTTGCGCCACGACGCCTTGCCAGGTTTCAGCTCGGCCACGGGCCGAGGCGGGCGGGCGGGGCGGGGGCGGGGCGGGGCGGGGGCCGGGGCGGGGAGCCGGCGGCCGGGGCGGGCGTTGAGCACGAGCGGAAACGGCGCCGTCCATCGGAAGCGCTTTTTCGTTTCGCTGCGCCTTCGCATGACGCGAAGCCAACTTCCTTTCCGTTCGACGGCCGCCAACTTCCAACTCTCCCCCCCGCGCGCGGAGAAACACGCCCCCCCCCCCGGTGCCATGCAACTATCGGGTAGGACCCACGAATACAGAGCAGGATATTCCTCTCCAAGCCAATGGAACGAGTAGAAAATTCGATCGCGGCACAGGCGGCGCGCAGTGGTAAAAGGCAGACATGAGGGAAGTGAAATTGTGAATCTATCACCCCGCAAATGTCGGTTCAAGAGGCGTTGATGCAGGTAGAAACGATATTATGACGACAAAACAGAAGGTCAATGCAAGTGTTCGAAGCCACTTGGCTGGTTCATACAGTTTTGTTCGTGATATGTATGAAACGTGGCCCCCCGTTTGTTCAATTTTAAACACACAAACCGGATGAATATTAACGGAAATATTACAAATTCCAAAACATCCGTCGCTTTGAGCGGGGGAAGATGTTCCCACAAATGAGACGAGAACGAATGGAGAGGTACAGATGAGAAGTGAATATTCCTACAATATTATTTTCTACTTTTGGCTTAATATGGAGTATTCAAAGTAAAAGGCAATTGAAGTTGGCAATACATACCAATTTTATATATTACAATTCATGATTTTGTAGTAATAGAAAATATCAGTGAGGAGCAACTTTTGATGTCTGTTAGTCCATGATCCTTACCACACAAATTCAAAACCTACTCTAACTGATTATCAGCGAATGTATAAATAAGGTAGTACTGTTTTTTTAAGACAAACTATTTCAGATCGATAAAAAAAATATGAAAAACACGATTGCGCGTTCTTAAGATTGAACTAGCGGGTCTTACTCGGTTGACTGTTAATCGAGCTGTCTTCACAACATCAGAAAAATGAGGCTGAGATGCTTCCCGACTCGATATCTTTATTATTATTCCCGAATCCAACCGTACTGATTCCGAAAGAGGAACAGTTGACGCTGAAACTCGGGGAAGATTATTTGTGCAAGGAAATTAAAAACTTAATGTATTTATTCCGAACCTCGTGACACCTCTTGGAGAAGTAGACATAATTAAAAAGCATACAGCGAATTCATGTGTACAATCTGCGAGTCTGATTGCTCATCAAGAGGTGGAATGAGGACGTGGCTTTCAGTTTGTGAGAGAAGTATTTAAATTTATTGATATGCTTATCTGGCTTGCACCGTTCAATTACGCGAAGTCGAAGGTTTTGGGTTAGAGTGAATCATGTGTATTAAAAATGTTAACTTAAATCAAGCAGCCGTAGACGTGCGTGAGATGGTGGATCACTGGACTCCTGTGGGTAGATTTCAAAATCCACGTCAGTCACTAGACTATTAAGTTATAGCGTCCCCAAAAAATGTTTCTCAATAGTGAGAACGAATGTTTCAACGTGGTTTGAAGCTGACGGAGAGCGGGCGTCGAACTAAGGATGTAAGGGCGTCTCCCGAGCGGATTAGCGGCATATTAACGGAAATATTACAAATTCCAAAACATCCGTACGCTTTGAGCGGGGGAAGATGTTCCCACAAATGAGACGAGAACGAATGGGAGAGGTACAGATGAGAAGTGAATATTCCTACAATTTTATTTTCTACTTTTGGCTTAATATGGAGTATTCAAAGTAAAAGGCAATTGAAGTTGGCAATACATACCGCAGGTAAAGATGCGGAACCGTCGCGTCGCTTCGCATAGTGACTTTAAGAGGTAGAGAATTAGGAATAGAGAAAGGATGAAGGGTTGTGGCAAAGGGCGAACGTTTCCTCCGCCAATCACAAACTTTCCGAAGTGGTTCACACAAAACATCGGGTATTTAGCCAAAACACTTTGTCCGCTTGGGTCAGAGTAGTTCCGGATGTTTGGAGTACTAGTGCAGTAACGTGTGAGCACACATCTTACTTGATAAATTTACTGACATGAAACGGCAAAAATGCACGAATCAAAATCTCACCCTATTATTATTACTATTTAAATTCAAAACATGTCCGGTACATCTTTTGGGGCTTACCTAACAGACAATAAACATAATAAATAGATTATCTAACGTTCTGATTAGTTTTTGTTTCACATCGTGAACTACATCATTAGAAGAATATCCATTCTACTTCTTTCCAACTTCAATTTATCGATTGTAAAAGAAAGCACATTGGTTTCGTTAAAAACTAATTTACTTGAATATATTTCGCAATAATTGTGGGTATTTATGGGCATTTATTATCAATCGGCTGGGGCAACTATTTTTGTTTCCTTTCGGATCTACGCTACTTCAAAAAAAATTAACTTGTTTTTGTACATCTGAATGATGGGAGCTATATTCTCTTCACTATTTTCAAGCTCATAAATCGAATGAACTTTAATCAATTACGCGTGCCTTAATAAATCAAGAACCGTTATTAAACAATCATGGGAGAACCTTCGCAAGCAGGAATCAATTGTTATTTCTGATGCTAGGAGACAGGATACTACGGGTCATTCACCGTGATAACAAGGCATGACTTCCGATTAATACCCACACCAAAAAGTAGTCAATCAAATAATATAAGAAAATTGTATCCTTACATATTTCACATCTAGTGGATCTTCCTTTATTTCCTCAATTTTCATCGTCCCGCCGGTACTTACCTGAAAGCAAGAACAAAATCATTGTAGAAAAAATACAAGGCAAAAACAAAGTATCAACATATTTCATGCATCAAACAAATGTGAAAACTTTCAGTAGTGCATTATGTTCAATATACATTTAATATCTAAAGCATTCACTTAAATGAACTGTCAGTTGTAAAAGCGATTAATTAGAGAGAACGAGAGTCTAAATATGCTTAACATTGAGGTTTGCCAACAGAACTCCACGTTGTTATTCCGTAATGCAAAATTATATTTTAAATATGCACATCGTCGAATCTAGTGCGCATTCAGGAAATTAGTAAATGTGCTGCTTTGCATGCATTGGGAATAATTAACGACGATGGACAAAACTAGTAACATAAAAAAGTCGTTAAAAAATTCACACATCTCAAAGTGTTGAAGTCCCTTATTTAATACATTTTTCCGAGAAAGAAGTTAATTCAGTGCATTCCAACCTACTTCTACACGAATAACTTTCACGGGATAAACAATATCTCTGCTATACATTACTGCATGCACAGTAACTTCCCCACAAACTACGGCCACTTTTTTCTTTGGCCGGGCGGCCGGCCGGGGTTGCCCGGGCGACCAGCCGGCTGACGCTGCCATCGTTCGGCGCAGCTGCTTCCAGGCGACCTCACCCCCCCCCCACCCCACCCCCCGCGACCTGACCGGAGCAGGCGGTCCCAGCCCTCCCTGCGCGATAAAAGCTGTCGTACATATCGAGTGTCAATTATAAGTCTTATTTTTCTAAAAACTGTTCCCCATACTGCTGGTGCTTCTTTTCGGGAAGTAGTAGTCGTCCCCGCTCCGAAATGCGAGGAGTCGTACCACGGAGCTAAGGAAACTTTTTCTTTCGACATGATCACTACGATGTTAGAGCGGAGACAAGATAGAAGAGATAAAAAATGTGTTAGCTCCATCAATGTCTTATAGGAAGTTTGGTGGGGGAAAAAAGAAGAAAAGCCTTAACACGCACTCTGTAAGGGTGCAGATGGTTTCAGGGAGCACGTTTGATGGAAGTATAGTTCTCGGGAGGAATTAGAGATACAAAGAGAACGCCGTAGTTAAGATATACCACTTTATTGTTTCTTCGACATTAACATGGCCGATCAAGCTTATCAAAAGAAATTCTATGGAATAATATCTTTCAAGCACACTCGTTTAAAAAAGTTAAAATGTTGGGTGAACTCACTAGTAAAATATACAATAATCACAAATGCCCAAGAAATGACAATTCAGAACTCTTATTACGAACAAATAAACTCGTAATTTGTAAAACCGTTATTTCCTCGCGTGAATGCACAAGAGATAACGCCGTCTCTAAAATTAGCTATTCTAACAAGGGAATTATAATTCAATTTGGCTTCCGTCTGTTCCAGCAGGAACTCCACAAAGCCCGCAGTCCGCTTCCAGCTGGCTCCCGGAAGGTATGGAAATTATTCTTCTGACACGCAAATATTCCCGAGCTAGCTCGCTCTGCGCACATGGCTCGATTACATCGAGCCGATAACGTGAAAATGTAATAAACACACCCCGTCAGATTACACGAACTAATCCTTTGATGAGTCACTCTTCTAAGAAAATGGACGTGGTAACGGATTGTTTGACCTCTGGTAAAACTTGGTCTCCGTTTCAGAGCGAAGAACTTAAATTTACAGAACCAACTTAAATGGTGAGATTGACCAGACTTTGGACTTCACTCATTCCATTTAAAATCCCCCGACACCTCCGCTGACCGCACCATCGTCTGCGATTCTTTTACAGGTTGTGAATCTACAACACAGAACCGCCAAATGACTTCCTCTCCGAAAAACAAAAATCATACTAATATTTTATTATGAAGACTACACACGTCGCCTTTTAGAACAGGCGATCGCCTCACGTACGAAAGCCAATAAGCTGCGGATCCTGTCGAAACTGCAATAACGAAAGGTACCCAGACCCGTCAAATAAATCCACCCCGACAGCAACGCGATGAAAAGGGGAAAACTTCGTCATCCTGCGCCCCGCATTAGACTCCAGCTGCCTCCTGCTACCTTCGCACATGGCGGCGCAGCCGTAACGCGTGCATGGCGGCACCCGGGGGGGAGGGGGAGTAGCGGTGTGGGCGGCTGCGGCTAGGCGTGACGCCGTTGCCAGCTGCGCTAATTAGCTGCTGGAAGCCAGTTAATGAGCCTCCGCCCCGAGCGGGCGGACGGGCGGGCGAGCGGGCGAGCGGGCGAGCGGGCGGCGCGAGCCCTCAAGCGCGGACCGTTCGTTAGCGCCCACCTCGCGCGCCCCGAGGGCCGCGGGTGCGGTCGCGGACAAGTGCCCTTGAAAAGCCAGTTCACGAGATCGCTATGTCCACACTGCTGCATGTATAAAAATCCACTCACCATTCGAAATTGTAAAAAATTAAAAAAAAATCATGGTACTTATTTTTTCCTTCCGGACGGTACGCACTACAACTCAATAGGGCGAATCTCGAACCACTAACACACTCGCGCGGTCCTGGGTTCTGTGAGTTAGTTGAAAACTCCCACCACGACACACCTGGCACGAAAGGCCAGGAATGGACATCCACCCACACAAAGGCTGGATCAGTAAGACCTCATTCGACTTCGCCGGCCGGCCGCAGAAGACGCCGACCGGCCAACTTCAAATTAAACTACGAAGTGTCCATCAATCATAATTTCACTTTGTGCTAGAAACTGAACACTTCTTCGGCAAACGTAGCTGACGCGTTCGGAGGCCCAGGATGCCCTGTTGCAGCTAAGATGTCCCAGCGACAGGTTAGGGCCGAAATGTGTGCGGGGTGCGGGGAAGACGCGGATGAGCGGGGCAGGCCGAGCGAAACCCAGTGGGTCTGACGTCGCAGCAATTCGCCAGCCAGCGCGCGCCATCCTCCGAAACATCGCTGTCCGAGCGCTTCAGCGGGAGAGTAATTGAGCTGTCGGGTTATGCAGCAGAGGTCAGCTCCTGCTACGCTGTGGACAGAGCCTTCGCGTTTGATTAACTAGAGTAACCAGTTCTTTTACAGCGATTGGCTAGATCTCTCCTTGGTAAACAATTATCTCGAACTCGCGGGCACACTATGGGCAACGCAGCGATGAATCCGCGAAAAAGTTAATTTTCCGATGCATTTTATCTCAACATTAAAGTTAACATGTGGATTCAGTTTTACAAAGTTAATTAAAACCAAACAAAAATCTGATTACTGGTTTTTAAGGCTTGCGTTTGATGGCCATTCAGCGCCACTATACAATGAAGTGGCGAATAAAATTATTTAAACTATACGCAACATGTTTGTCTCTGCCATCCCCACTCCATTGCTTCATTCAAGATCTCAAAATACATTTCCTCCCATCACATTTGTCTAGTTTAAATCAGAATGTACAGACATTTCATCTACATGTTCCCGCAACAACGTATTTACCCATGTTATGAAACACTTTTAGTGACGTAACATGATTTCTGCTGGACCGGTTCAAGGCGCGTAAGAGAAACATTCAGTTTTATTAGACTGTCAGAGCGAAAGCGGGCGGTATTCAAGACTTTTATACGCAGCCACTTTCCGACTTGGGCGAGGTTACACGAGATGATCCAGAGCCAGGATGATAAGGAGTTACAAATAATCTTGGTCACAGTTTGCAGCAGAACGAAAAACACTGGAGTCGATCTAGTACTGTGGCAGAAAAACAGCACCGTTACCCCAGTAAGGTTGCGGAGAATTAAACCCAAAAAAGCCCAACAAAATTTTATCTAATCACAGAAATTATTAGAATAATTCCATGACTCCCAGTTTCTTACCAGCCCTTTTCTTTAATTTTCGACATGCCGGTTTGCTAGCACAGTGACCAGTAGTCACAAGGTGAGGAAATTTAAAAAGTGAATGAAAAAGGTATTCAATATCCTCTATATATCATTATAAAATTAAATCATGCAGTTAGGGGCATTTTTAAATATGCGATTCAATTGTCTCGTATGGGTCATAATTCTTCTATCTTTAAATTGTTTCACTTATAGATTTGTTTTATTCATCCATCTATTCTATTCAAGACGCCATTTCAACGTGACAGTTGCGATAATTGGCGCTTCACGACCTCGCCAATATTCATCCATGGCATTAGATTACCCTTTTGTTCGTGTATCTGGGAGCGAGCACCAAAAGGCCGCAAACAGAGACCCTGCAGATCAAGCTCAATGTCGGATCCAGCGGAGGAGGGGAAATGGGAGGCAAGAGACCGGGCAAGCAGAGGAAACCAGCCTTTTTATTGTAATTCTACTAAATTTATTCACAACAATTTCATATTAAAAGTATCACTAGTAAAAGGAGTATTCGCATTAAGAACACGCAGTTTTCATTTCAAGTTAGCACTTGAAAATGTATTGTATGTTTCAAAAATATTTACGTCGGAGGAGCTTCGAGTCCACCCCCACACACAAAATTTCTTGTAGGTTGCGTCGTGGCCAGCGAAGGCAGTGGCGCGTGGCTGCGGGGGAACGGCAGAGGCAGGCGCTCGGGATGGGATGAGCGCGCGTCCAAAGTTCACGGGCCGACGTCCGCCCTCCGCCAGAGGTTATCCGCCGCGCCGCGGCCCTGGCCTCGGCCCCGGCTGTCCTTTCAGCGCCCTTTGGCTCGCCCGTCGCTCCCCCGCCCAACAACCTTCCAACGCCCCCGAGCGGCTGGGGTGGTCCGTGCGGCTCTGCCAAGTACTGGAATACGCCAGGGTCATTATAGTCGCGTATGGTAGAACATATGAGTAAAACGAGATTTAATACGGTAGTGAAAAAGCCGATACACATGACCGATTAGAGGTACCGAAACTGCCAACAGTCAAGAGGAAACAAAAATTACAAAATAAGTATGTCTTTTACAACAGGAGAATTGTCAAATGCGACCGGTAGGATGGTTTGATAACGAATCGAGAGCTTCGCGAGCGTTGTAATAAGATGGTGCACAACAATAGCGTCCATCATATTATGAACTTACTAAAACTCGCTATGCTTAGGTT